TCGCTGAAGATCCTCAGAAAGAATTTCTACCAGAAACAAACAAACAAGTAGATATGTAAAAAATTGGTGTCAGGAGTGGAATGCAGTTGAGTTGTTACTCAAAGGCATTTTAAAGGATTACAGCAATAGTGACTCAGCTCCAGAGTTGGGCTTTTCCATTTTTGCCATATTTGGACACCATTTATAACAGATCCATGGGTCCTACAGGTTCTTTCTGAGGTTCTAGCCCTTAATTTCCATTCTCCTCTCCCATTGTCTCCTCATCTTGTTGCCCCCACCACCAAGGGATCCTGTTTCCCACCAGTGTCTACAGGAGGCAGTTCGGGACTTACTTCAGAAAAAAAACATTGAACTTTGGAGCCTTCTCGGCTAGGGTTTTCCTACCGTCTGTCCATTGTACTAAAAAAGTATGGGAGATTGGTAACTGGTTATAAATTTATCATCCCTGAACCGTTTCTTGGTTGTACCCAAATTCATGATGGAGTCTTACTTAACCCTTCAGTGGATTGTCAGTGCATCAGTGAATTTCTGACAAACACAATTTTCTCTTATTAGACTGATGTAGTTCACAATGGTGCATGCATTAATGACTATGCATGACAAATGTTGTGTGCCTACCTACACATTCCCTTCTCCCAACCATACTGGCATTTCCTCCATTTTGTTTCTCAGGGGTATGTTTATCAGTTTTTGCCTGTTTGTTCAATTGCTTTGTGTGAAAGGCCTTCATTTCCATTATTACATGGACGACTGGCTACTTTTGCCTTCCTCTCAGGTCGATTCTACTATTCATACTCAGTTTCTTCCTCGAGAGGCTGCCAGAGTGGGTTGGCTCATCAAGGTGGAGAAGTTTCTCACACCCATACAATATCTGATTCATCTGGGTGTGTTTCTCAATTTCATTATCAGTCAGGCCAAGCCTTCTCCCCTTCATTTAAAAGATATGGAACATCTCGTTTGCAGTTTATTGGCCTCTCCCTCTCCTATTGCATGAGAGAATCTATCTTTTTCGGGGACATGGGCTTCTGCTCCTGTTACCCTGCTTCCCCACCAAAAGGCCGACTTCGATTGGTGGTTGGAATGGACCAATACTACCATCGGAGTTTCTCTTCCACCTCCTCAACCAGATTATCTTTCTACAGATGCTTCCCTTTCGGGTTGTGGTGCATATCTCAACACTCAAGAGGTTTCAGGTCATTGGACACTGGGGAATCATCCCTACATCATAACATCTTGGAGTTGCTGGCAGTTCATAATGCTGTGTTTCAATTCGTGTTGGATGTTCGGGGGTGTTTGGTCATGGTTCACTCTGACATTTCCACGATAGTGTCTTATATTACCAGGCAAGGGGGTACTTGGTTGTGAGATTTTTGTTTTTTAATGTTGATTCTCCTGTACTGGGCCTACAATCATCACATCACAATGTTAACACGTCATATTCCAGGTCCCATCAATCTGGTCAAGAACCCGTTATCTTGGTCCAACAATATTCTACTGACAGAGTGGTCATTAGATTTGCAGGTGTTTTGGGAGTTGTCTGCTCATTGGGGTTTTCTGGATGTGGATGCTTTTGCCACACATCTCAAAGCACAACTTCCACACTTTTGATCTCCCATTCCTCATTCTTTGGCAAAAGCTGTAGATGCTTAGTCAAAACTGGAAGATATATTACCTGTATGCATATCATCCTATTCATTGATTCTATTCAGGGTCCATTCATTGATTCAGACCACTTTGTGTTGGGTGCTCCTAGTGGCTCTGTTTTGGCCTGCTCAGATGTGGTTTCCACTTCTGCACAGGCTTTAGGTGTCACCTCCCCTTCCTTTGCTGTTGTCTTCCACTCTTCTTCATCAACCTGGATCAGGCATGTGCCATCTGTCCATTCCCATCTTCTAGTTTCATGCATGGCTTTTGTCCGGTCCCTCCCCAAATAATCTGGATTTTCCAAGTGCATTGTCTCATTGATTGCCCATCCTGTATTACATTCCTTGTTGGCGGTATCAGTATAAATGGTATACTTTCTGCTGCTGGTCGCTATGCCGGAGATATCATTCTTAGAAATTTTCCTTACCACAGTTGACTGCATTTTTCACTTGGCTCTTTGATATGGGACTGTCTATTTCCTCAATTGCCGGCTATCCAGCAACATTATCTTGCACATTCAAATTTACTGTCTTCCAATCTTTTGTGTTGTCTTTGATATTTCATTCATTTTTCCCTTTCCTGTCCTCCCTGCCCTGTATCTCTCCCTGATTAGAATCTAAATGTTGCCCTTCACGATCTAACTTGGGTATCTTCTCATCAAATCCATCACCTCACCATGTTCCTGGCTTCCCACTTCATCTTCCTTTGGAGGTCATTGTCGGGGCCAGTATATGGACTAATACTTCATATCTTTGTTTCTCGTTATTTACATCACATGGCCATTTCTTGCTCGGTGGGTTTTCATTTACTTCTAGTCACCATCTTACACACCGCAGTGTTGTTATGACTGGTGTGTACTATGTTTTTGTTATTTCTTTATTTACAGGGGCCATTTTGCTAGTGTGTTGTGGATCCCACTTTATGGCAAATGGTGCCTGACCAGGTATACTTTTTTGAAAGTCTGCACTGTCCATCCTGCAACCATGCTCGATGTCACTTACATTGTAGCTGTTCCTACCTTGGTCCTAATGTACAATTCCAGGTGCCGCAAGGTGTTGGTTGATTGACTTCATTGACGTGATAGCTTCACTTTTCAAAATAAGGTATTGCAGTCACCCATTGCACTGTCTCTGGTGGTGGGGTCCTCCACATTCTCCTGTGAATTTTTCCCTCCTTTCTTCTAGTGGGGTATGAGTGTTTTTGTCAGTTCTTAGCCACTGGGGTTGTGGACCATGGAGACCTGTTCTCCTGAGATGGCTCGGTCACGATTAGAATCGTGTCAATGGCAAGATACCCTTCCTATTGTGGACCTGATGTACACTTACAGATACTGCCAGATTTTGGTTGAAGTGCTTCATGACCTTGAGACATTCCTCCTACCTACCATCCTCTGGATGTAGCTCCATGGGATCACGTGTTGGTTGGAGATGGTCCAGGTAAGTAAGTCCTCACATGTGTTCTGGCTAGTATTCCTCCTCTTGCTGTGGACTGGATGAAAAATGCCCAATGCTGCCAGGTTTTAGACTAGAGATGCACCCGAGGTTTGCAATCCCTCTTCCTACCATCTGCTAGATGTCGGTTCTCAGCAGATCTGGTGTTGGTTGTAGATGGATGCAGCATGTGTATTCCCACTTGGGTATCCTCCTCCTACCACGAACTGGATAAATGTACCCAATGCCATCAGGTTTTGGATCAGAGATGTCACCCCACTGGGACTTTCCACCTTCCGACCATCTGCTGGATGTTGTTTCATGGTGGATCTGGTGTTGGATGATTTGGAAATGTATGCAAGTAGAGACAGATTTTGATATAGAAGCTCATCTTCCCTACCAATTCCCATTTCAAGGTGAATAGGTAGGTGATCCTCTGCCTACCACAAAACTGATGTACAATTCCAGATGCCCCCAGGTGTTGGATGAAGTCGAACTACTACTACTGCGGTCTGTCATGCCCTAGCCACTCGACACCCAAGGGTCCCATTAATAGGTAATAAGTATTATGGAATTCCTTCATGTTTTTCTGCCTTTTATGTTCACAACACAGTCATAAAAGAGTGAAGAGTATACCTGAATTAAATGTGTTGTACAGTCTCCTGCTGAGGTGTGGTATTTTCTTTTTTGGTTTTGCACCTCCTGGTCTCTCTTTGGGCACTTTCTAAAGGGGGGGATCGTTTTTTTCACCAGCCCTCCACCTGTTCAATGTGGGATTCTAGCTATTTTGTGAGAGGAGGTAAGATATCAGATCAGAAGTTAACATTTGCCTAAACTGAAAATGTATTTTTGATACATACTGACTTCCTCTCAAATTTGCCATTCAGCCTCCCCACTTCCGGTGATATGTGGTGTAGGTCCTATGATCAATCTTGAAGTGATTAACGAGTGCAAATGTAGAGAAGTTGTTGGTTATGATGAGGTTTGTGTCACTCCTATTGGTGGAGAGCTGTTGCATAATCATTTACATTGTGGATATGCAGAAGTGGGAGGTGGAAGGCTAGTGGCAAGCAATGAAAGTTTGTGCCAATAGAGGGCAGTACTATTTGAGAAAAATCTATTTTGTGAAAGGAGATAAGTATCTATGGGAAATACATTTTCAAGTGAGTAAAATGTTAACTTCTATTTGATATTTTCAGATTTAGAGTGAGTTTACATTTATCAAGATTCTAGTTCCATTTAATAAATTTAAAATTTCATGTTGGCTCTTCACTTAACAAAATGTAGCTTCTATTTAATTTGTTTAGCCTTAGTGTCTCTCCACACTTAGCATAATCTTACTTCTGTTTAACATGTCCAAAATTTGTGTTTGTTCCTTTGTTGATTAATTTAAAGTTTGTGTTGCTCCACATTTAGCAAAACCATACTTCTGTTCAATAGATTTAAATTTTTTGTTTCCTCTGTACTTTACCAATCTTACATGTATGTAATAAATTTAAACATTGTCTTTGCACATAATAATAATAATAATAATATCTATCTTTCTACTGCTTAATGGATTTTAATATTGTGTTTGCTCTTCACTTAACATTTAGCAGTATTTTACTTTTATTTAGGAGGTTTAGCTTTTGTATTGACTCTACATTTGGCAAGATCTAAGTTTTGTTTAATAGTATTTTACACTGTGTCGGCTTCATACTTCATCTTAGTTCTCTTTATTAGGTTTAAACATTTTGCAAGTTCTAATTGCTGTTTAATATATTTAATTTTCATGTGTTATTTACAATTTGCTAGATCTCCATCTATTAAATATGCTGGAACTTTGTGTTTGCCCTATACTATACTAGAGCTCACTTCTATTTGTTAGATCTAAATTATTTGAATCCTTCATTACTTGAACTTACTTCTGTTTAATAGGTTTAAACTTAGTTTCGGCACCACATTTAGCAAGATCTTATCATCATTTATTCCCACTGGAAAATTTTAAAGAAGTGAACATAAACAATCGTACTGATTCTGAGTTGAGGTAAGTAGCTACAATATTTGTATCAATTAAAGGTGTTTGAAATATTTAATTATATTTAACCTTTTCCTTTGTTTAATGTATTTTTCAGTTCTTCAGAATTTGATCAAATAGTTTATGATTGTAGTGAACTCAAAGTCCTGTAAATTATAAATTTGTGACATATACACTAGATGTAGTTGTTGAAAGTTTAAGCTATTTTTCATCATCTTTAACACTGCAAAATAAAAATGATAATAAATCGTTTTACATAAACAAGTTGGGTGAAACCTAGAATAAATGGTTATTTATAATTTAATCTAACTATAGAATGATAGAGTTGTTTTACATATTAATGTTTGACCTGCAGTACTTGCACTGTTTTTTTTACTTCTGTCATAGGTATTGTTGTGGGTGTCAAGCTTTGTTTACAGAACAAACAGTAAGTATAATTTTATATGTAAATTTGATGAAAGTGAGGATATCTGTGTTGTCACTTTAGAACTATTTACTAATTTTTGAGTATTTTGTATTTCTAAAGTTTTACAATATTATGCCATTGTATTTTTTGTCAGGACTTTACATTAAGTTAGCTTCAAAATATAATTTACTTTGGCATAAGTTATTATAACCTTTTTTTTTGTTTTCCTTAAACCTTTCCAAGCTGGATTACCACTAAGGTATAATGTCTGAATCTTTCAGAAAAGAAATAACAGTGTTACATTGAATGTTTTAGAAAAATATATTGTAACATTAACCTTAAGATAATACAAAGGTTAATCCAATCACACTTTCTCATCAAAATAAACACTGTAACATCTTCAGTTATTAGCATTTTTTGGTAACTAAGAATGGCCGGTAAAATACAATTTGATTGTTATAGTGGGTCATTCTTTTTGTCATTAACCTTAAAAATATTAATTTTTTTAAATAATTCTAATTGGGGAATATTCCAGTCCTCTCTGCATGTTCAAAACAGAACAGCATAATCCATCTAATAAAGGCAAAAACATTTTGATAGCCAACTACAGGAGATCATTTACAGTTTTTAGGAACTGCAAATAAGTTTGACATACTAATATTACAAACTTTTTTTACCCACAGCAGTCATGTCCTGTTTATTCCTTTGGCCATAAAGCATGAGATCAGGTTTCTTTGGAAAACTGTCTCATCTTTACTTGTGCAGCTTTTCCCAAACTGAAAAATGTTTTATTTTAATTTGTCAAATTTTGTTAACTTCACTTCCTTGTTTATTATCTTGTCCAGCACACGGAAATATGTCCAGTTTTATCACTGTGGGTTTTTGTGGTTAGATAATTTTCTTTTCTGGTCACAGCTTTCACTTTGATAATGAGAACACTGATCTTTATTAGCATGGAATATGGCTTTGTAGCCCATAGTTATCCTAAGTACTTTGTTGTGTGAGTTTTGTCATTCAGTAATATTTTTGTAGAAATTTTTACCTTCAGAAAGAGTATTCACATACCCCTCCAGCCACTTATTAAGTTTGGAGGGATTTTACAAACTTAATTAGTGTAATTTGCTTTTATACATAGAACAGATGCTTTCTATTATGTGATTTTAATTCTGGTATTGTCCATACACTCGCAATGAAATTGTTGATAAGTTACATGCACATCTAAATGATCATCTGAAGAAACCTGATTGAATGTTTTACTTGAGTACTGATGTATTTGTTATACAGCTAGAATAAATTGGAAAACCTAAAAATGACCCATGCAATTTAATATAGATCAATGTTCTGATATAAAACACTTTTATTTTGATATTGATCTCTACTACAAAACTCAAAATTGAGGGATTTGAAGAATCTTATTGGGTCCATAAATATATGAACCATGTAATGATAAAGATGCAATGATGAATTTTAAATTGTCATGAACACAACAAAGACTATTTCTTTATAATAGGACAACTCCATCAGACCAAGAATAATCAAATTCACATCCAAGGAACAGTTTTTCAACATTATATTAGTAAGAAATAAGGATTGAATATGTTTTTACACCTGTTTAAACCATCAACCTCATTTTGTACAGTAATATCATTTTTCTCTGTTAAGTCTTAACATACATAGTTTGATTTAAATGCATAATTCAACACAATGAAAGAATAATCAGAGACAATTATGCTACAGCTGAAAAATTAAGAAATGAAAGCTAAGAGATGAAAGATCTATTAAATTTCATTTTCTGTAGTCTGTAAAATGCTTGCTTTTTAGATAAACCAACTTAAAAAAATGACTCAAAGTTGGTTCATTAAGTTGTATTCCTTATTAAGGGCAGACATTTGATCGTACTAAAAATATTCAACAGTGCTTTAGCCAGTCAGTAATACTTTGCAGTTATTCTATTTTCTTGTCAGATTTTAGCCTGTCAGTAATACTTTGCAGTTATTCTATTTTGTGTCAGATTTTAGCCAGTCAATAATACTTTGCAATTATTTTATTTTCTTGTCAGATTTTAGCCAGTCAAGTAATACTTTGCAATTATTCTATTTTGTGGTCAGATTTTAGCCAGTCAATAGTACTTTGCAATTATTCTATTTTGTGGTCAGATTTCAGCCAGTCAGTAATACTTTGCAATTATTCTATTTTGTGGTCGGATTTTAGCCAGTCAGTAATACTTTGCAGTTATTTTATATTGTAGTTGGATTGACACTTTTGGGTGACTGTCTATTACCACAATGTATATTGCAGATATGAGGAGTAATTGAACATGTGTTTGATAATCTCTAAGTGGTAATACTTCTTACTTCTTATGAAGGACAATGGATTTTGTTGTGATTAGTTGGTTTAAAGGTAATAGTTCAACATCAAATAATTTGTTCTCTATAGTAATGCGTTTCAACTATTTTTATGTTTAAAGTCTTAGAAGCCGATATAAAAGAAAATGAAAGAGATTAATTGAATGAAATGACAACAGATATAATAAAAAAACAAATGAAAAATCTGAAAGGCATTTGCATGTAATGCTAGTTAGAAAAGAAAAGGGTAGGAGTCAGCATTTTGATATAACATTAAAACAGGTGTTTAAGTAAAATATGTTATAGCGTGAATTTAGGCATAATGTCATAAAAATTACTTAGACTGATTATGGTATAATAGATCAGTGCATGTGATGCATGCCAGAGCCATGCTCAGTAAACATATACATAATTACATATAAATAAACCATATCAACACATGCACATACATCAATATGCATAGAAATAAACAGCATTATATTCACCATGACTGAGTTATTTTGGGGCCCAGTGCTCCTGCTTATCCTCCTTGGGAATGTCCTGATGTATGCTAAAATTATTTTTAAACAAGTTAAGAGTCACTGATCACAATAATAAATGTAAGTAATTAATTAGAAATGAATCTTGTATAGAATAAAAATAATGCATTGTATCTGTTATTAGATAGGTGTTTGTATTGAATCAGTATAAATTTTTTAAATTTCATGTATGAGTTTAGGTTTGTCATAATTTACAGTAAAAATTATTCAACATGGTATTTTGTGTTCTTGACTTTGTTACTAACTTTTTTGTTATTTTACTGAAGATAAGATGATAAAGTATTATATTCAGACATGTTCCATGCAGTAAGTACAAATAAAATAAAGGACTGATGAAAAATGTTTTATGATAATTAAAAGAATTGGTACTTTTGAATTATTCATATAAAGAATTGAGAACATTAGCCTACTTGGTTTATCTGGTAATGAAAAATATTTCAGTGTCTTTGGCTTTTCACCATATAAATATATTACAACTTTAAATATACTTTAAATTATATATATATTTGTCTCATATTTACAAATGAACCCATTGCCAACAACTGTTTGCTTTGGAATATTGCTAGTGTATTATATATTTGACTGATAAAAGTTACTTTGTATAGAAGTTTGACAGTGTGTTATATATTTGTCCTACAGGTTTACAGATGCACCCAGTGCCAGCAGCTGTTCTGTCTAGAATGTGATCTCTTCATCCATGACACACTCCATACCTGTCCAGGCTGCTCCAGCTCTAGAAACTTTAATATGGGTATCTGAGTTTTCTGAACAGTTTTGTTTTGGTGTGTCCATAAATAAAGCTATATTTAAAATTTTTATTCCTGTTGTTATATATACATCAAAAGCAGCAGCAGCTGGTAAGGTTTTTAGACAAAATGTTTACATGTATACTTCATGACATATTGTTGATGAGATGATCATATATGGACAAGAAATTTCTTTCAATTAAATATATGTATAAATTTTAAGAAAGGTTTTAGCTTCATATGATTTATTTATAAGTTTTTTTTTAATCATAATTTCTTAATTTAAAAACTTCTTTAAAGACTTCTTTTAGTGTAGGTCTAAAATTTTGGACATCTTAGGAATCATTATGATGTGATTTATTTTGACAATATTTCAGTCTCTTTGCTGAGGCCTTCTTCAGGTTAAAGTTTCTAGGGGTAGGGTGATTTTCATAAATAGGTGATTGTATCAGGGTCCTCTCAGAGAACTGTGTTTGATTAGATCTTTTTTTTTATTTATTATATAGCATGGGCTTAAAGGAAAGATGTGTTTGAATGTTTCCTGTTGGTTATGTAGCATGGTCCTGGTTGGGGATTTTTCTATAATTTTATTGAGTATAGAGTTCCACATTTTACTGATTTCCACACCTTGGTATGTATTGAGGTTGGGTGTATTAGGTTTCAATATGAATTACTTTTATTTATTTTCTATGTTTTTTTTATGTTTCGCTGTGTCTAAGATATGTACATTGCTTCATTGTGTGATGTGTCCAGTTTCATAGCTATGTTCTGCTGCAGTTGACTTATCTGTACGTGAGAATTTCAGTGTGTCTCTGTGATCCTTGAATCCAGTAATACTTTCTGTTCCTCCAATATAAAACTTTTCACAAAATAAGGTATTATATTAGATCAGGCATGTCTAATGTAGAGTTTCTTATCGTTGACTTTCATCCGTAAATTTTCGAGTGTAGGTCCTGTTTTGAAGAAGACTTGAATTTTGGGAAGAAATACCTGATTTTATAGCTTAGTTTTGGGATATATGGTAAACTGATAGTTAACTCTGTGAGTAGCTACTGTATATTAAATTTTATTACTAATTTGAAGGCTTTTGTTTTCCATTTAACAACCATTGCAGACTTCCTTTGCTCTATTTTGATTTTCCTTATTAGCCCTTGCTTTACTGCAAATGGATGATTAGACTTGAAGTTTAGGTATCTGTTTCTGTATATTGATTTCCTGTAAATGTCTGTGGTGAGGTAGTGACCTTTTCTAGTAACTAGTACATCCAGGAAAGGGTATGACCTGTTAGTTTCTGTTGAACAGTGGACTGAATATTTGTGTTTTTGGCATTGAGGTGCTCTAGGATTTCTGCTGTGATGTCATAATCATGTGGCCAAACAGTAAATGTATCATCCATGTACCTCTTCCATGAAGTAGGTGTTAAATTAGCTGTGTTCAGGACTTTTGATTCTAAGTGTTCCAGGAAGATGTTTAGGATCGGTGAGAATGGGGATCCCAGTTATAAGCAATGTCTATGTTTAAAGAATTTGTCTTGAAGCAGAAAGTCGGTGGATGATCTGCAATGATGGTTAGATGGTTGTCAGTGAGGTTGGAGTGTAGTGACAAGCTGGTATCTTCTAGTTTGTGAACATTTTGGTTATGTTATAGCTAACTAGCAGATCTGTAGGTAAAATGTTTACAGTACTTATCTGGTTGGTGAACTTTGCAACCGGCAACCCAGAAGCCACATCTGCCTGCCAGACAGTTTTATTTGATACACACTATGTGTACATGTACCATTATCAGTCAACCATAACATTGCAGTCAAGTATCATGTTAACGTTTTATACAAAAAGAACAACAAATTTTTAATTGCATTTTATCATTTTTTCAATGACAAAATGCTAAAAGAATTAATTTAATACATTATTTGATGGTTTTGGAATGAAATATTAATGATTTGTTAGGAAAAGGTTAAAAGCTTAGTTTTTGCAATTTTGTTTCACTTATGGACTATAAAACATGTTAAAATCATAAATAATATACTTAATATTTTGTGTTGCAACACAGAATATGACATTGTTATTCCTCATTTCACATTTATCATATGATATTGATATTCTCACAGTGTGTTATTTTGCTACAAAACTTATTTGGTGAAATTCTTGTTCCTTGTTCTACAATATGCAGTCACTGTTATAATATAGTGACCAACTGTAATTGCTATGTTTCGCAGGAGTACTGCTATATAGGGGTAGTGAAAAAAACCCACTATGTCAGATAAACAGAACAAATAATTGGACAGAAATATAGAAAAATGGTATACATTTTCCCTGATTTATACAATTAATGTTAATTTTTCATACTCTACTAGAGTATAACTCCCTTTCTGCTCTTCAGGAGCACTGGTATATACCAATCAGACTATCAGGAGAAATTTTGTTTGTTGACACAGCACAAAATCTTGTTGCTTTTCACACAGGATCACAACTTTTTTAGGGAGTTTCTACCAATAAAAGCCTACCAGCAGTTACCATAAAACTCAACCTGAGTGCTCAGAAATTAAGGATCTCAATATCCTTTCAGCATGTTGGTTTGTGAAAACATCCTGGTCATAAATTTCTTTAGAGATTTATTTGGCAACCTTAGCAGTTCTAGATGTGTATCTAGCAAATTTCACTAGGTCTGCTCCACAGAAATTCAGTTACAACTGACTGGATAAATTGAGTAATTTGTGAAAAACATATGACCAACATCTCACCACCAGTCACTGCTCAATAGCTTGAAAAGTCAAAGTTGCAATGCCTTTCAGTTGTAGATTTCTCAACCAACCAATTGTCCTACCTTAAATAATCAAGTGGCTATCACAAGACGTACTGTACTTACACCCTATCATGAAACATCACTTGATAGCTCCGAAATCAAGGAACATCGATCACTACAGCCACCAGCCACGTAGAAGATGGCTCCAGCAGCCCAAAACTTAAAACTCAAAGCACAGGACTAGAAGTTGAAAATCAAATATATATATGAGTTAAATTATATCAAAATTGATGTAATCATTAGTTAAATTAAGAAATAGAATTAGCACAGTATAACCTTTAAATTCAAAATACAAATAAATTGAATATTGAATAAAAAAAATGTATTGGGTAGAAAGTCTTTTTGACACTTATTAAGCAAAATAATAATACTGAAATTTGACTGGTTAGTAAAGAAAATGTATAATGAAACTTCAACATGAGTCAAACAAAAAAATACAATATTGGGAAATAAAATAAACAGTGCTCTATATTGGGTGCTAGTTAAAAGGTAAGCTATCCATACCACATACAAAAGCATGAAGCAAAATAAAAAGCAGTTAATCAAAATTTACATAACACATGCTCAGAAATTAGAGCCGTTTAATTGAACACTAGTTAAAAAGCAATCTGGAATCATAGGACAAAATTTTCAGAAATAAATATGAAAATATGCATATAACACCTCCAAGGTTAAAGTAAAATACAGAAACTACACAAAACTAACCATGATGAATGGCAATAAACTAAGGAAAACAAATGACAAGTGTGGTATTTTCCAATCCATGGATTTCCTGCAGACCATGAGTAGAATCTACTAAATAGGAGGTTCTACAGATATGATATTATAGACTGTGGGTTCTTTTACTTTCTGGGTTGTGGTCGAGTTTGTCAATAAAGAACAAGTACAAAAAATACAACAACGAACAAATGAAGTACAAACAATACACTGATCCTGAACAATACAAAGGCAAGTTTCTTAGTGGATTTACTAAAATGGTGATAGATGGGTTGCAGAACTTTTAATATTTCTTGGACTATAAGCGTAAGCACACCCACCCCACCCCATGAGCTACTGTAATGGCAAAGTAAAACTCAAAGAAATATAAAATTACACCTATCATCAGTAACCCAGAACAAGGGTAAATTGAAAACACACAGACTATCCTTCTTATGGTAAAGAACTGTATATTATATGTATGGTGTTTTTAGTTTGTAATTTTACTTACCAGGTTTACTGAAGAGGGATGGAAATCCCTGAAACTGGTATAAGTCGGTGATAAGTGGTGAATTGAATGATATTTTGAGCTCCATATCTATTTTTAGTATCTTAAACAGGTTATCTTTTAGGTAATGTAGAAGAATAGATAAGTAGCAACAATGCTATGCATTCTTGAAATCTGATACAAATATAAGCTCACTGTGGTGATTAAAATGTAACTCAAAATACCAAACACCTGGCTGGTTATAGTTCAAAGAGCAATATAGCAAGTGCCTCAGGATCATGGTTTTTTGTAACAAAAATCAGATATGAACATACCAAGTTAATCTGGAATCTGAAAGACTAGTTTAGCAAGTAGTATAAGGTTGAAGGTGATCTGATGTCCCTATGAGATCTTTTCAGAAAAAACAAAACAAAAAAACACTAGGGACTGTCTCAAATATTATGTTATTTTTCTCTGACTCAGTATATACTGGTACTTCATAACACTGGTGTCACACTATTCCAAGAGTTTTTTCTAAGTGACTTGAACACAATCTGTCACAACCACATTCCTGGGAGGTGGTCGAATAATGAGTGATTACATTCTACTCTAATCTCCTTCTAAGTACTTATTGACGATCAGATCTTTGTCGTTGTCATGATTAGTTGCCTGTACAATATTTTTGAATATTAATTTGTAATCAGTTTGTAACTAATATGCTTCTCATGCAAGTTTAATAACACAAAATATTGTCACATGTGGCTTATGTCAGTGTATAATCAAATTACATTTGCATAGAGAAAACATTCAGTAACATCTGTACACTTTGGAAATATATACATTTTGCTATCAAAAGTACAAGAAACCACAAGGTTCACAATGTTTCCTTTCGTTTTGAAACAATTCGGTAATTGTAAATTTACTTAAACAAAGTAACAAAATCGACAACTATTTCAGTCATCCATAAGAAATGATTCCTTCCATTATTAATTATAACAGTGGGTAAACCATCTTTCTCACATGGTGTGATCTGTCCAGCAACTTTCGTCTACTTTAAGTGGAAATCGATAACTAATGAATATTTTAG